TTGCCAATGCAACCTAAACTTCAATTAGCAAGTGTTCAACGAAATGGTCAAGAATTAACTAAGGAATTGCCTTACCGAGAATTAATTGGAAGTTTAATGTACTTTATGTTAGGAAGCAGACCTGACTTGAGTTATTGTATCACTTATTTTAGTCAATTTCAAAATGTGTATACGGTTGAGAACTGGAATCATTTAAAAGGTGTGTTAAGATATCTAAAATATAGGGAAAATGTTGGCTTAAAATGTGTGAGGGACAATATTCCAGATGTTCGCTTGATATCTTATGTAGACTCTGATTACGCAAATAATAGTGAAGATCGTAAGAGCTTCACTGGGTACGTTGTGAAAATTAACAATAATTTTGTTTGTTGTTGTTTGTTTCACGAACGCCCTTTCTGACTAATTAGTAAATTGAGAGATGGCGGAGTTTCATTTGGCTGTTTTTTTTTCAATTACCATCAAAAGGAGCAACTGATTTATCCACGCCATACAAGGTCTTATTATTTACAATAGATAATAATATTTTATCTGCATTGCCTCTTGAAACCGAAGGCGAAACTCGTCCGCCACCAGTTTTATAAAGTTTTTTTTTCTGATTGGAAATGTGCTTCCGGATGTCTTCTTTTTGGTTATTGTGTGCATTGTTGCGGTCGTACGCGGAATTGTTTAAAAATTAATTGTTTTAACAAATAGCATTAAATTCGCCCCTTATTTTCTAGCATGTTGGCGGCCTTTCTTGGGAAGACACAGCATTTGTTTTTTTTATTTTCGATGACTTATCGATGATCTTAATGAATCGCGACGAGCTCTAAAATAGTATCTCTTTCAGGAGCGCTGAAATTAGTAGACCATTTTTGTTTTGCAGCCATTAGTAAAACAAAATTTTCAAAAGATCTCGAATTTCAGTTAGAAACAACACAGATATACAGAACAGAACGAAAAATACAGACTTGCCGGTTATTGCCTGAAGCTTAGGCTAAGAACACGTGAAAAACGGATGGTGCAACTCATACGTATACGCAACTCATACGTACTCATAAGTATACTTAGGTAAGGACGTGCTTAGAAGAAGTTTAGTGCAAGTGGGCATTTGTCCGTGATTGTATTGGACAGAATCAATTCAAACTTGTCTATGTTCCAAGTAAAGAACAGCAAGCGGACATATGCACCAAGCAATTGGTTAATGATATGTTTACCTACTTAAGGAATTTGTTGAATGTAGTTGAAGTATAATTGGCAATATTTTTGTATGTTAAATGCTGATTAGAGTGCAACATTGGAGCAGGGTATTAATAGCACAGTTACCTGTAACTGTATGCAATGTTGCCGGTTATGTTTGACTGACATTTTCGTGTGTCATTGGACGACGTAGTTACTTAGTTGTTAAATTCTATTATCGGGGGTAATTGCACAAGTGCATCAAAATTACCGATAATTTTGCATAAAAGCTTGTTGTCTAAAAACTGCATGAGTTTATTTTCATATTGTTGATATTTATTGAAAATAAACGAATGCAGTTTTTACAAGACAACAAGCTCGAATGCAAAATTATCTGTTTATTTTG